TGCAGCTTTGATTGTTGACCTAAATTCCCCTTTCATAACTGAGTCCTGTCACCTCTGGTTGGAGTCTCCCAGCAAAACAGGCACGGCCAACTTTCAGAAGTGCGGGGCACTGTTTTCCGTTCTGCCTTGCACGGCTGTGACGGGCTCCGAGCACACCTGATGTGTTCAAAGTCAAACTGACCTCCTTCCTCCCCTTCCCCCAGCTTCCCTGCTCCTGGAAAAGCATAATAGGTCTCTTTTTTTCCCTTCTTTTTCCTTTTTTTACCAATTTTTTTTTTCTTTTCTTTTTGCTTCCCATTGCTCGGCAAAGTGAGGAAGCCTTTTGCCTGCCTGAAGAATTAAATTCTTAGGTAATTCTATGGCTGGGCTGATTACCAGGAAGATTGCTGTTAGTAAGATGCATGAAATGACACTGAAATGAGGGAGGGAGGCCTGGAGTCTGTTACTGATAATATTAAAGTGGATTACAGCAGCTTGCATGGGCGACTTCGGCCTCTCTTCTTTCATACTCTGCCCACAGAGTGCTACTTAAGACTCCAGCAGCCACAGCCTCTAGCTGTGAGTTCCCGTTTCTCTGCAGCTACTGCTGATAAGCATCTGGTCCAACCTCTGCATCGCAGGCTTGGTTACAGCAATGCCTCGTGTCCTCACCCAGGACTTTGGTCCACAAGTTCAGGAGCTGATGCTACCTGCTGTGTTTGTGCTGCGAAATCCTGTCCATCATACAGGGCCCACACAAGGATGTGGCTCTATTTAAGTCCCCAGCAAAGTCCTGAAAGCAAATCGGGTTATAAATCATACACTGGCTTTGGTTAAGGCCTGCTGGAAGAGGTCAGATGGACAGTTGGGTGCTGGAGCCATTGTGGGTCAGTAGCCAGAGAACTGAGATTTCACTGGCAAGAAAAAGGGAGAGATTGTAGTTTCAGATTTCCATGTCTGGCTTTGGGCCTCTGGAGTTTAATGTTCCAGCTTTCCCTGTTCTAGATCCCTAGGATTTTACTTTTCCTATAAGGGGCAAACAGCATGGGACTGGAAGGAGCTTCATGGGCCGTTGAAGTCTGTCTGTGGCCAAGCAAACAGGAATGTAGTATCTTAACTCTGTTCATGCACTTCTGAAGAGTTGTCTGAGAAGTGACTCACTGCTTAGTGGGGAAGGAAGGTTACCAATGCCTCTTACTGGAAAGCTGGACTAGCACCTCTTCTTTTTCTTGTAATAAAAGATAAAACTCAAGTTTTAATCCCTTGGGCTTCAGGAGCTTTACAGGGAACAAATCACTTAGACTACGGACTTTGAAGGGCTGTCAGTGTTCTTCTCAGCTGTAACTCCATCCCTTTCTAGCAACTCGGAGCAAGCAGAAGTGAAGAAAATTGTTTGCTGCTGTATAGACTTCTACATATTTTTTTAATCTAATTGCTGTGGGGAAAACAAACATCAGTTTTATTTCACACCATTTCTTGGCTAGGAAACTTGAGGCATATTCGCCAGATTGTGGTTTTGCAGTCATTGGCTTGAGTCTCCTTTACCATGAGGCCTCTTTACACCACTCTTGGTTTGTAAAGGGATATTAAGTAGCTAAAAATGTCCCCTAGCACATTATTGTAAAGGATTCTCAGTGTAAATGAGACTCTAACCTCTGTATGTTTTTCATGTAAATGTTCACTGTGGTCACAGCTGAATTCTGAAATTTGGAGTGTCAACCATTGTGAGGGGTGATTTTGCTCAAAACCAGCCTTGTTTGGGGTAAAAGAGGCCTCTCCTTGTTTAAAATGTTCTTAATTATGTCTGAGAAATAACTCATGGCTATGGAACCTTTTACTAAATTGAAATAAATTGTGAAAACATCAAATTATTCAGTTTTCAGAAGTTCTGGCAATTATTTCACATGTCCCTCTTCCAATGGCTTTGCCCTTATTAGTTGTCATAGAAGAAGTAATAAATTCTTGTATTATGACATCCGAAGTCCCAGCTGAAATGAGTTTCATTGTGCTGGGGACAAAACGGAAAAGTGACACTCCCTTAGCCGGAGGATTCTTAGTCTAAAGCCAAAAAGTAAGTGAAGGGTTGGGAAAGTAGGTACAGCATATGAGCAAAAGAAGGTCAGAAAGAACTGGTACAACATGCAAGTTATAGGGAGTGGGGGTTTCTTATACTTTCTTATTCTTTTTCCTTTCTCTTAAGAATAAAACAACTCTTGCTGTTGAAGGGATTGTGTTCAATCTGTCTTTTCATCAAGAGTTGGTTGTCTGTAATAGTAAAAGTTTGAGGAAAAAATACTGTACGTGGCATATGGATTCAGCAAGGACCTTTGCCCTAAACTAGAAAATGTAAGGAACTGGAATAGTAGACTGTTTTAGTTGAGCAGCTTTCATACTGGCGTGTTCAGTGGTGTCCCTATTGTCACTGGGTTTTTTCTTTCTCTGCCCTGCTTTGGCTCCCTGTAAATCTTGAATTGATGGCAGCTGTTTGAGCCAAACTCAAGACACGTTGCATCACATCAGGGTTTAAATGCTCAAAGGCAAGGGAGGATTGCTACTATTCTGTAGTATTCCTCCAGCAGCTCCATCTGTTCAGCTGAGGTCAATCACTAGCATCATGCAGCACTTCAGAGAGAGAGGAAGATGTTCTTTAATGCTGGCTGGGAAACTGAATTTCCATTCCACAATTATTTATTAGTTCTTTTGGGGGAATATTCCTAGCCCCAGCCAGTACAAAAAGCCAAAAACTTGACCCCTAAAGACTGTATGGTGGACTTTCTTAGAGCTGGAAACCCCAGAAGTGTGTTCCAGAGCTTCCAGCAGTCCATCCAACAGCAGGGATCTTGGATATCTTACAGGTGGAACTGCTATTGCATGTGCAGCTGCCCTTTGGTCCTCAGGCCTGGAGACTTTGGTCACTGTGAGGAGAAGGTGGCAGGAGATGCTGGGGAGCATGACTTGGATGGGTTGACCTTCTCTGCTTGCAGTCAGAACAGCCAAGGGAGTCCCTGGTGTTCCCTTGGCCATAGTGAAGGAAGGCTCACACCTTCTCATGGAGATTTACTGGGGCTAGCTCATATATGCATTACTTTTTCTGCCCTCTCCATGTTGGCATTTCTGGGCAGGCACAAACCCTCTTACAAAATATCTGACCAGCTCTAATGATCTATTACAATAAGTTGGGATTTTTTAGAACTTATTTTATTGCTTCTTTGGAAGAGGGACTTGTCTTGCCAGCTGTCTTCTCATTCACTGCAGCATTATCCACCCACTAGCACTGCACAATACCTTCATTGGAGATTCATAAAAATGCAGACTTTTATGGGCTCTCATACATCTGAAAATGAATGCTTTGTGAAAGCATTTATTCCATAAAGAAAAATCAAAACCCACTTAAAAACCAGCCTCCAGAAGGTCATTGGTAACTTTGGCTTTCCTACCATGAATTTCTCGGGTAAATATCCATCCCAGCAAATGTCATTCTTTATTTTAAGCATATTTGTTTTTTCCTTTCCTGGTTCTCCTCCTCTCCTTTCTCGTGATCAGAAGTAGCAGCATAAACTAGAGGCTGGTCTCGCAAAGGTTTTGAACTGAGTGCGCCCTACAGATGAATAAACACATTACCTTCCGAACCCTGGGATCTCTCTTCCAAAGGCAACAGGAAAAGGGGGAGCTCAGAGTCCCTAGCAAAATACCAGCCTGCAGAAAAAAAAAGGCCTGTTTAAATGCTCTAGCTTTCCCACCAGAAGACTTTTAAAGGGGGAGGAGGAGGAGAGAGGAAGGGTGTGAGGAGAGAGGGGGGAAGGTGGATGCTGGGAGAGGGGAGGAAAAATACAGTGAATGCTCCTGTAACCTTTGCTCTGTTGATACTAGACAAGACTGCACTGTTAATGAGTGATTGTTAACAGATGGCTGTTGAGCAACTTAGAAGCAGAAGATGTTATTTGGTTGTAGTGCTGGGAGGGTTAGGGTGCAGGGGTGAGGTAAGGGGATATTTAGTCTTTTCATGAGAACTGAATGGTCAGAGATTTATGATTTTTGGTTAGGCTTTTGGAAGTGGAGGTCTGGAGGAAGGATTGTTTCCCATGTTCTGATAGGAGAGTGGCCGTTTGGTGCTGAAGGCTGTAATGATGATTTTCTGGGTTGAGGGCTGTCCCTGCAGCCCTTGGCCTTTGAGAACTGAAAGATGGAAATGTATGTCTTTAACTTGCCAAACCTCAGGTCCCAAAGTGAGGAGTGGGCTCTTCCCACTGCTTGGAGCTGTCTGAAAGCAGGTTAAGAGAGCTTTAGATGTGGATCCACACTTTGTCCACAAGATAAATCATTAGTACTTATCCCCTGCGGTGTACCAAGTTGTTGGTAAGTGTGTGTATAAGGAGGCAGAAAACTTTCTGAACATGGATGTCCATCCGTGCATGTTTCTTGCCCTTTCCTGGTGTCATATATGCTATGTTCAGCACATCAGCATGCCAGCGTGTGCCACTTCCTCACTGGTTTTTATTTGGTATGAATTTGAGGGTAGCCTCAACACATCCTATGCACTTTCTGTAGGATTTGAATGCTTGAACCTACCACAATTCTTGTAGCTGCTCAGTGTTTCTCAAGCTGCAGTACTTTGTTTTTGTACTTGTTTCTCCTCTGGACCGCATTAGATACAGGGTTCAGTGGTAGGAGGTGTGAGTGGGATCAACACTGCTTCTCAAGGCTGTTATTTTCAACCAGTGGTATATGGCTTGAGTGAAGGCAAGAATCAAATGCACAGAGCATCATTTTGCTGTTAGGAATTTGCAGAAGAGGTTTGGCCTTTGGTCAGGAAAGGGGAACTCCATTTATACATGCAAAAATTAACAGCAAGTGTACCACAGTCATGCACTAGATGGTTTTATGTCTTTCTTGTACATGAACATTTTAACGCATGTAGGTGAGTGTGTGTATATACATGGATATTTATAGACTAATTTAAAGACTAATTTCTTCATCCTGTCATCCTTATTGATTCATATTTCTTTTTTGGGGGCACATAGGACTATATGACAAATGTTCTTACACCTCCCGTGACCGAGGATGGGTCCTGGGGATTAACACCGTCAGTGACCAGGGGAATAGAGACCCCCGCTATTTCTTCTCTCTGAAGACGGATCGTGCTCGCAAAGTAACCACCATTGCAGCACATCGCAGCTACCTCCCCAACCAGTGGGTGCATCTGGCTGCCACGTACGATGGGCACCTGATGAAACTCTATGTGAATGGTGCCCAGGTGGCCACAAGTGGAGAGCAAGTGGGCAGCATCTTCAGTCTTCTGACCTTGAAGTGCAAGGTGCTCATGGTTGGAGGAAATGCGCTGAACCAGAACTATCGGGGTTACATAGAGCACTTCAGTCTCTGGAGGACAGCCCGGTCTCAGAAGGAGATCTTATTGGACATGGGCCAGGCAATTCACAGACAAGACACCCCTCTACCTCAGCTAGTTCTTCAAGACAGTTTACTGAATGTGAAAAACACCTGGTCCCCCATGAAGGATGGCAGCAGCCCCCAGAGCAAGTTCAGTTATCACCATGGCTATTTGCTGGATACCAGCCTAGACCCTCCTCTCTGTGGACAGACCGTCTGTGACAACACAGATGTAATCGCCAGCTACAACAAGCTCCCCAGCTTCCGCCGCAACAAAATCGTGCGCTACCGTGTGGTCAACCTCTATGATGACAAACACCAGAACCCCACTGTCAGCCAGCAACAGATCGAGTTCCAGCATCAGCATTTAAATGAGGCTTTCAGCCGCTACAACATCACCTGGGAGCTGGAGGTGCTGGAGGTGAAGAACTCTTCCCTTCGCCACCGACTCATCCTGGCCAACTGTGATATCAGCAAGATCGGGGACGAGAACTGTGACCCGGAGTGCAACCACACCTTGACTGGGTATGACGGTGGGGACTGCCGGCACGTGCGCCACACGCTCTTCAACAAGAAGAAGCAGAACGGGGTGTGTGACATGGATTGTAATTACGAGAGATACAACTTCGATGGTGGAGAATGCTGTAACCCAGAGATAACAGAAGTCACCAAGACGTGCTTTGACCCTTATTCTCCTTACAGGTAGGCATTTTCTTAAACAAGCTTTTTATGATCATACTGGTGACTATCTGTCTACATATTGATCAGCCTGCTGGGTTTTGAAACCTTGTTTTGTTACCATTAGAGGCTTTGGAGTTTGTAATTCATTTGTTTTTTTCTTAGTGTTTGGCTTGTATTGTAGTTATCCAAATGCAATCTCAGTAATGGTCTCAGCAGCATCTTAACTGTTGAGCTGGTATTCTCCATCTAGGCTGAAGAAAGTTCAGCACTGAAGACTGAAGCAGCCAACTTTGGTCAACCCATTAGTTGTTGGTTATGAGCAGTGTATTGTAGCATTGCACAGTTTGTTTTAACTGCAGACTCTTAGCAGTGGGAATTGGATGTCATACAAAGCTCATGTGTATTTGGAGAGGGAAGAGCCCTTCAGGCATGGAACAGAACATAAATACTCTCAGGTAGACTTTAATTCTCTAGGACTTCTTTGAAGGTAGGTAGGTTATTCTGTATCCTTAATGCTCTGAGTACTGTTTTCTGTAAGCACTGCTGTGGCGAGACAGCTTAGTCTGCGGGCTGTGAGGAGGGAGGTGGGTACCAGGTTCCTGGCAGTGCTATTGCACACATTGAGTTCTTCTGTGCCTCTTGTTATATAGATGAAAATTGGGTTAGTGCCACTTCATTGCAAATGGCAGGGCAACTTTCTGTGGGTGGATGTGAGCTTAGAAAATCCTGAGATCCTCAGCTAAAACTGTGCTGTAGTTTGAAGAGGGACATCCTCGAGTAACTTGCGTCAGCTGAGTACCACATACCTACAATTACTCCAACTTGCTTTTGGTCACCTTTAGATAAGAGTTAGTTTGTTTAAAGAAAAAAGTGTTTTCTGTGAAGGACTTAGAAATATAAACACACAGAAGATAAAGGTTAAAGCTGAGATTCTGTTGTCTGCATCCCATGTTACAGTTTCTGTAGGGCAATTCATGCAGTCATGGGGGAAAACCTGTAGATGGTCAGAATACCCTGTGTTGTCAACACTAAAGCTCAGGTTAAGAGAGGAAGTGTGAGCTGTTCTGGAATCCCTTCCATTACAGCAATTCAGGCTATCTTTGCAACTTCCTCCATAGAGAGAAGGTTTTACACAACATTATCAGCTCTACTGGAGCTTTAAATACACATAATTAAGCTGCTAAGAAATGTTTCCTTTCCATTTTTGTTTTTAACTCCGATGAGGTTGTTTTTGAAAAACTCCTTATAGCTCAGCATGACTTCAGTGAGCTCCCAGTGAACAGAGCTCACATGAGGAAATAACTTGAAATGCTAATGATTGAAAATATCGGAAGGAAAAATACCGATCTCTTAATACTGTTCAACTGGAGAGGAACACAACGAAGCAAATATCATCAAAGGCATAATGCAAATTGGATTGTTTTAACACTGGAGTTCTGAGAAGTCGAGGTGTTAGTTCTAACAGCTATGACAATTTTTAGCAAAATACATTATTTTTAATATGATAGTTCCCTTTTATCACTTGTTCTGTGACCAGCATAATACCCATACAAAATGAAACTAGAAAAGTCTTGTAAATTTTAGTTGGCAGATTTAAGACTGTGCCTTAATGCTATTCTGATGCTCAGAGATGTTTCTATGTCAAATGAAGCCTTTTTTCCTTTTTTGATGCACGGATTGTACTTGCAGAAACCCAAGCAAGAAATTTAGATCCCAAATCTGAAATTACATTAATGCACCGTAGTTGCTTTTCATATGCAGTTGTGTGTTCATTTTGGAGACACCCAACCTTGCTGAACTGGCCTGGAGCCTTTGCATTTCATGGCTTTGAGCTCACAGATCTTCTACATGTTCTTTTTGGCTTGAGAAGCACCTCTTCTTGTCTGTGATCAGTGAGGGAGGCCCGAAGGTCCTGTTCCAAAGTGCAGAGACTGTGAAAATCTGTAGATCTTCCACAGACTTTTTTGCACCAGTTAGATTTCATTTATTTGTCTTTGCACAGACATTGTAATGCACTGTTGGTCATTGTCTATGATCAACATCTTGTTTATGAAAACATGAAGGGCAGTAGAAGACATTCCATCTCTCCAGAGAGTTTATTTGGTGGCTGATATGTTTAGACTGAGCTCATACCCACCACTCTGCTGGGTGTTGCACTCAGTATGGCAAAATAGAACACTTAGGGCCGTGGGCTTAGCCATGAGGTTTGTAAGGCTGAAGTATTTAGGCTAACAAATACAGGTTTGGGGCAGTGGCTTTGGCAGCAAAGCCTTCATTGACTAAAGAGTGAGGATTCAAACCCCGTGTTTGGCTTTGGTATTGCCCTCAGCATCATTCCCTGAGAGAGATTACCATGCCAGTTAGTGACTAAGTCAAAATCTGTGACTCAGTTGGCACCATCTGGGCCCATTTTGCATTACCAGCCCTTCTTGTCATCACTTTCATTGGCAAAGAGTCCTCAGTCCCCTCTAGTGCAGGCCTTGCACCACATCAATGAAGGCATCTCCACAGCCACTGAGAGCTCACATTTAATTCCAGGTATTTCCTCTGCCAAAGTTCAGTCTAACAACAGCAGAAGAAAGAGAAGTGAGCCTTCCAACTGGTGAGGAAAGGGGGAGGAGGGAAAGATGAAATGGTACCAATAAAAAATTTCCTGAGCCTTGTGCTATAAAGACTCTTCACAGTCTTCCTTGGTACTGGAGAGGCAGTCAGATGCTACTGGGTTTTGCTCCTTGTATCCATTTCTAGTCCCTTTTCTTCTTCTGACTGTCTCAGTCCCAAGCCTCCATCCTTGGACAAAGTTGTTATGAGTCTTGTTACAACAAACTCTGTGGATGCTCCTTAACCAAGTGCAACCACAGATGTGAGATCACTGGAACCGTTTCAAGACAACTTTGATCTGCATTGTAAGTTTCTTGTGATCCTTTTGGCACTTTGGACAAAGTGCTTGGGTACTTGGATGGTGTCATTCAGTCACTGTTGTGGTACAACTGTGGTGGCTTTAGAGCTGATCCCAGCAGCAGGAATGGGTTTTTCGTTTGTTTGCTTCCAACTCCTGGCACTTCTCCAGAAACATCTTCCTCTAAAGAGCCAAGATCCTGTGCCATAGGTACTGGGGATGTTGATGCATAGAGATTTAAATACTGTGGCATAAAGAAGTTTGCCAGAGGGACAGTGCTGGTAGATGGGGACTCTGCTGTCAGAGCTGCTCAGCAATAAACATTGTGGTACCAACTAGATCATCTCTCCTCTTTTTTATTAGCCTACAGGGAAAAAACAAAGGACTGGTTAGCATTAGCCAACACAGCAGGCTTTATCCAAGAATATCTGCCTCACTTCTTTTTATTAATTTCATGAGAGTGGGACAAAATGTATTTAGTCCCAGCACAAGATTTGCAAATATTGTTCAGCTTGTCTTTATTTCTGCAATTCTGGGAAATTAGAACATGCTAAGATCATACAGTCTGGCCCAATACAAAGGGAAGGAGCAAGGATAAACACCACTTGCCACAAAGACACATTCCCTGTGTTATTTGGGATATTGCTGCTTACAAAATAGGGAGGATTTTGAGCTCATGACACCTACCATGGCTCCTTTTCAGAAAAACTTGAAACAAACAGCAAGGGATCATAGGAAATCATGCTCTGTAAGTGCTATTTGATGTGGCAAGTTCTTGCACCATCCTATGGTTAACTGAGCTCTTCCTTTTATGTAGTATTGGGCTTGCACATCAGGCTTCACCACAGGATCGCATGGGCAGATAAGAAAGCATTCCCCTTGAAGCCTTCTTAGGAAAACGCTGATGAAATCCCTGAAGCAGTAAAAGCTACTGGAGCCTTCAGATTCGCTTGATTCATACAACCTACCGAATACTTGCTGGAAATCCCCTCAGAAGGAGTGACCCTGGGGACAGGCTTTCTCAACATCCACATGTGTGCCCTGAAGGCTCCTACAGCCCATCAGTTCTGCCCAAACAAGGGGCAGAGATGAGCTGTACAAGCTCCAGAGTCTATTTTGCAGCACCTGACTGCAAATGCAAGGGTGACCCCAAGCCAAGGTGCTGGAGTGTCCAGTGCCCTGCTGATCCCACCCTTCTCCCTGGCCTTTTCCAACACTTGTATTGTGCAGTCAAGCAGAGCTTAGTGTTGTGTCACAGCAGCTTGCTCAAGATTAAGGGCACTGACACATTGCAGGTACATGTAATTAGACTCTGAATGCATGCTTGAACAATCTGTAGAAATCTCCATGTGGTTTTGACCAGCAATAAGTATGGCAGAGCCCCATATGAAGAGCACACCATGCTCTGCCACATGGACCACAGCAGTAGCATTAGAAGGAGGTAGCTGGCTAATCCACAGCCTAGGTCTGTGGCTGCACTTCAGGGCTCCCCCATGGGATTTCTGACCAGATCAGCCTCTTATTCTTTATCCTTCTTTTCCACTGGAAGTCTTTTCATGAGGCTTCTTTACAAAGTATGGTCAACTTACTCTGGAGGAGGGAGGCATACTTAATGCCCTTTTCTAGGAGTTAGAAGAGTTCTAAGAAATACTCCTTGGTTCCTAATAAAAGACTAATTTCCACCTAATCCTAAACACTAAAAAGAACAGAAGAAATTCATCAAAGCTCTTCAATTCACGGAGCTTGAGAACTTAATCCCCTGCCTCGAAGAGACCATTGTATAGCTCTTGACATCAAGGATTCCTGCATTCATGCAGGTATCAGGCAGACATATAGCAAAGACCTGACTTTTTGTCTAGGGATTCAGCATTAAATGCCCAGTTCTTTAATTACCAGCCCCAGGGCTGTTGAGAAGGTGGAGAGTATCACGCTCAAGAACAGAGCTGCTGTCTCTTGGTAGTTGTCACCTTAAAAGCCATGTCCCAACAGGAAATCCTCTGTTCTCTCTGTTTATTCTGTCCTCTATTCCAGATGTCAGGGATGTTAATCAGCTGGGAGGAATTGCATCTGTTCCCATGCTGGCCACTGACATTTATAAGTCTATTATTGAATTCTGATATAG